TATCTATAAGCGAATTAACCTTGATATTGATAGCTATCAGTGGAATTTAGAACTTGTGTTTAGTCCTATGTAGGGATTGTTATTCTAATTCATTTATATCCTAGTGTTGCTACTTACATTCAAACTTAAATGTACTAGTTTCCGTTTCAAGCATCAATTCGTTACTTATTGAGCCATTGAATTCCAAAAAAACTAGTTTGTACAATGGGTATAGAATTTATTTGTAGGAGTTTGTATTTTACCTTTTGTCCATCGAGTAAGTAACGCAGTTCTTAGGAAACGGGTACTAGGTAAGGATGGCAAATTAATTGATGAAGTAGTGAAACTTTATCAGTTGAGATGGCTGAGACACGTGTTACGCATGCCCAACCATCGACTGCCACGAGGTGTAGGAGTAGGATGGAAGCAATCTAGGGGCGGCCAGACCAAATCATGGCACAAATCCATGAAGTCACTGACAAGTGGACTGAGCCATGTTGGTAGGTGTAGACCTTGAATGATATGGCTCAAAATCGTTTGCAATGGCTCAGGTGCATCCATTCGTTGTGTTCTCCCAAATTCTAATCTTCTGAATTCTTCATGTCTCTTTTTTCTCTTTCCAATTTATTTCACTGGATTATACTCTTTAAATAAAACATCTTCAAACCCTAATCATTCCGATTACTGCTTATACTCTTACCGCCTCTACCACTACGGGGTTTGGATCGAAAAACGCATCTCTGTGCTAATGTGGTGTGGCAACTCGAACCGATGTACGTAAATACGAAGTTCTACGTTGTTATTACTGAATTTTGTCCAGCTTTAAGAGTAATAAGTTGATTTAGTTTAACATAATAATTGTATGGGGAATTAGATTGTTTCCTATGGTTGTTATAATTTGGCATTATGGGTATGAAAATTAAAATTGGTATTTATCTCATAATAATTATCATCCATTGAACAATTACTGGCTACTGATATCCAGCGATTCAAAACGTTATTCTTTTGCTTAAAAAAATGAACGGTCAATTTGAATTTCTAATTTCGGAATGCTTAAATTCGGTTGAGTCGAGATAATTCAATCTCAGTCAGTCAGTTACAACGTAGGACCGGGCACATACATGCATCGATCCAAGTTGCCACATCTCATTGGCACAGCAAACGAATACCGGATTAATAGAAACAGTTAACTCAACGGTGTAGTATATAGAGCCCGACCGTAGCTGCTACCTTGACGCGGTGGTCGGTCTTGCCTATCGTGATGACCCAACAGAGCTATATTGGCTGTAACATATGTTCCAGTAGGTTCTAATATGCCAGGCAGGTCGATCGTAGAACGGTAAGACTAAATGCAGCAACTCAAGGTCTGAGGGCGAAGTCGTACTGCTGACTGTAGAGGAGTGTGACAGTAGTAAGGTGTTTCCCTCGGACAACCAGCATCTGCAGCGATGCTGCCTTCTCACAAGGAAGGAAAGGGTTAGAAACGTCGACCCTAAAAATGTAACACCTCACCTTACCTCACGGATTTCCATCTCCGTTGGTAAGGCCGTTTGAAGAACGGAGCTAACACGTCAAAAACCTCCCACATATAGGCCGTGTGCGACCGGCCTCAAGCAGTTGTCCCTTGGGCTTCGCGGTCACGCTCCCAGGTCGTTAAGGTCAACATTAATCCAACTTCATCTTCAGGTTTCTCAAGAAATACCCTTCCACGGTGTGGGCAGCCGGGAAGTGACGCCAGCCCTCATACCCGTAACAGCAGTAACAACATTATATAAAGGAAAGAATTTATGTCAGGATATAGTACAGAAAGAAGAAATTATTTCGTAGAAAGAAAGATATAAAATAATTTTAATTTCATGGTTTAAGGGAAGACAAAGAGTGTATACACCTACGCCATTGTGATCGATTCTGGGCCATGTCACACAGAGTCTCCAGATAAAACGGAAAATGTCTCATCGACTTACTTACTTAAAAAAAAACAGATTTAAGTGGAAATTTACAACAGAGAAGCTCTACTTAACTCATTTATAGTCAGAAACTGACCAATTTAGTTAATGTAAAGAAATAGTTGTGTGTTCCAAGACTTATAACAAGTGACACACACGTTAAAGAAACGACGTATTGTGATTTACGAAGAAAACTGATTAGGCATTGATATTGGTGGGGCCTTAGTGAGAATACTAGTATTGATTGGAATTCAGGTATTTCCACTTGACGAAACCTTAATAAAACGAAATCATCCTAATTTAATCACGGTCACTTTGATTTAACAATCTACCAGTCGGTATCAAAACATTTACCAAGGATAATATGCCCACTCTGTTTACAAGCAATTGTATATAAACTCAATTGTTAAGAGTCCTTCAATTTGATAAATTAATAATGTCTAATTATCTTCAACAGTACACAAGTATTTACAGATGAAGTAAAACTCATGAAAACAAATCTCATTGTGATTATATCCTGTTATTTTTTATAGTGGTTCAGTAAAATAAACTGCTGATCTGATGTTTATAATGACTAGTAGTTATGATGTATCTTTCGAAATATAATCGTTCTCTCTTTTATTTCTTCACAATATTCTTTAGTTTCACCTAGTGTAGTATATAACGAAAAAAGACGATTTGTAAACCTTACAAGATCACGATATTCAACCATGTGTGGTACATTTACACCCAGTAATCCCACCGTTTGTTAGAGAGGCAGATTAAATCAAAGCAAGAGTTTATTGACACATGTACAATTCAATTCATTAAATGGAATCAAAAGCGTAACACATTTTACAATTTGACGTAGTCTTTTGTATATAGCGTGGCTAGATATGTTTGTCTGTATTTATTGACCAATTAAGGGTCATTTTGTTTGGATAGTTTAAAATTTAATTTCGGCGCTGTACTATATAACCTTCTACCTCAGTTCAAAAGTCAAAATCAGTTAATGAATTCATAATTCATACAGAATGTTCAAACAAGTTATTACTGAATTATTTGATTGTAATGACTCAGTTTTGGGAATGATAAACCATTATGACCATTTTATGTCTAATATGCATTATTTTCACATTATATCATAATACATTGTTAGTTCAAAACACTAAGTTGCATTAGGTTAATGAATGTCAACGTTATTTAGCAAGTTAAAAAAGATCTTGAATTTCTAGACATATTGTTTACTCATTTTAACTTCAAACATGTATTAGGAGATGTATCTGACAATGGTATTTGAGTTGCGATTCTCCATGAATTTCCTAGTGGTTCTTAATAAATTTTCATGCTTTATACACACTTTTCTCTGCCGAGTAAAAGCAAAGTCATGCTGAAAAGCGAGAGTTTGTATTCACTCTTGCAGTTTAGAAGTTTTATAAAATTACTACATAATGGAAAATCTACTTGAGACCGATCATAAGGACTTCTAGCTCAAGCAAGGTAGTTCATACAGCTGACTAACTGCAAAACTGGATATACCGGTAGTCAACCACTGACCAATCATAGGTCAATCTGTTTAAACACAAAAATATCCCAGTTTTATACCTCACTTATCCTGTCAGCGACATCCTATTTATTTAAAATTTGCCCCCAAATGCCCTGTTACGGCCGAGAGTGGGGAGAGTCACCTCTCTCTCTCTCGAGATGCCCTCATATGACCATGTCCATACAACCGATGTCAGGGTAGTCCTACTCACTGCCTTCTCATGGCATTACTGTTGTTTATGAAATTGAGAAGACGAAAAGCGAATGTCCGGTGGGGGCTTGGACCGGGTTGGTGGATACGAACAGTCCACCTAGGGGAGTTGGGAAACCCTGATTTCGAACCAATGGCGCACATGGACTCCAGGATCCTGAAGGAACAAATGGCGTATGAACCTATTGTTGGTCACCGACTACCATGGGACTGCCTCTCCTTACGTTGCTCCACTGCCTTGTGGATCAGATCTTTAGGTCGGAGGTTCCGGGTGTGGCCCCCTTTGAAGACCACCTTTTTCGGTTCAGGCACCCGAGCAGTATCTCAAGCCTCACACGAATCGAATGTTTTGTGTGGCGCATATGTATCTGGTGCCTTCTTGTACCAATGTTTATGTATTTAAATAAAATGGATAAATTTAGCAACCATAACTTCTCCTCTGAGTGAATGTTTTAAAGAGAAAAGGCTGTTAACATCATACACCTAGGTAATAATTATTATTTACATTGTAAATTCTCCACCATTACTAACACTACTACTACTACTCTAGAATTTGGCTTGATGGTTTTATTTTACTATGTTAATACGGTGTAGTAATTTGAACCGATGCACACAACCATCAGGTTCTGCGCTTTATATGACTGACTTATTAATGGCGCAATTCATGAACATCTTCCCAAATAGTTATTCTTACTGTCACTTCATTCAAGCAGAGTGAAGGGTTTGAGAATATTTGAACAGCATAATTAATTGACTTTTGTTGGTTTCGATTCTGACACGGAAGAAACTCCTGTTTAAGAATTACGAAAATTTATGATAAATGAAACCTTCTATATATGTACATAAAATTAATGATTGATTATTAACATGTTTCGTGCTATATATTCATTATTGCTAACTGAGTACCATTGATTATATATGTACTATGTTCACCTGAGTAATCATAGAGTTTAGAGAGAATACATGTTACGAAGCTTTAACTAAATTTCACGCATGTGATAATATAGAGGCTAGATATGAATCTGTTAGCATATATTAAAACAGCCATTGTTAATGAGTGTTTAGAAATACGAAGCTTAGATCTACAGTTACTTATCAATTTAATAACTCAGTATGAATCGATCATAACAATCTTTACCAGATTAATTAAACAGTAGTTCTAGGTCTAGTTTTCTTTTAACAGGTAATTAGTGTGTAGAGATTTTCTGACTTATCCATATGTTTATTTTTATTGTATCATTTGTCAAAGACTCTTGTTGTATATTTCATTTAGTATGCTAAAATATCACTTCCTTATTTTTTTTTCTCCATCCTAGTAAATATCTATTATTTTTGTGATTATGTCCAGTCAACGTTCTCAACTGCTTATCTCAAGTCAATCATTAACCACAATGGATACAAATACAAATGTGACTAACTCACCACTGGCTTCAGTTAATCCTACAGCAGTACCTTGTGGTCAATGTCTTATAACAAGTACACAAAATATTTTAAGTGGACAACAAAATCAATCAAGCGGACATAGACCACAATTAAGTCATAATATAGCAGGTATGCAAAAATCAATGCATACAGTTGTACACGCAGCTGGTGTACCGGCTGTTATGGAAACTTATGTACATGGTAATCGTGGACTGGTCGCTCACTATCCATTAGGAACAAATACATTACATGAAATACAAACACTTCCACGAGTTGTCGAACAAGTTAATGCTACTACTGGTTCTGGTACTGTTCAACAATCACAATTTGGAGCTAATTATCGTCCTATATTGATTGCAAATACATCGATAAAAGGTCATAATGCACCTGGAAGTAATAGTTTACCAAATAATCAAACATATCAAATGATTGCTTATCCTCGTCAAGCTTTAAATATACTACAAGCACATGGGAAAAATTCACATGCCGTACCAATTGGTACCATTAATACTACAACTAGTGCTACAAACAGTGGCAATGCTCATAATAACTTGATGTTAGCTAGTGTAATTACACCGGAATGCTTAACAACTGATTCTAGCAATAATGCAGCTCGTATTGCACAACTTCTAGCTCCTTCTGGAACACATCCTACTGTGGCTAACGCAGCACATATTGGTGGTAATGCTCAATTTCTTGTCTATTATCCTCAACAATCAAATACTGGCAGTAAGTGCTCACACTTCCATCTATTTACTCTAATAGTTAGCCTATCTTAGACTATTTAGAAATCATTAGCTACAAAAGCTCTGTGATTGCACTTATTAAAATATAGATTTGCTGGTTTGGTAATATTATTTACCAGTATGGTTGTAATAAGTAAAGATCTCATTTCTCTTCGCTCATGAACCTTCGGGTGCTTGCCTGATTCATTAAAAGATCTCTTAACCCAAGTTCAAATAACTCTGTAACTCAAGTATTCAGTCTTTAAGGTTATTACACCCTCATTAGATCTGATATGATCAGTCATTCAGATTTTGATTACTGGACGATCCATCACTCGAAAGTTACGTACCTTATAGTAAAAAAAATCAGTAGAGACTAATATTTATTGATCATATGGTATAACATTATCAGTAAGGGGAATGACTGAACTTCATAATTCACCAATATTGGTGTCCAAAGTTTGATTATTGTTACATTTTGCCCGTTTTGCGTTTCCTTTCAAATGTTGAATAATAGCTCTGATTGTGTGACTGAATAACGTAAAATGAACTTTGTTAACGATCAGTAAAAATGGTGGTTTCCGTTGCTACTCAAAAGGTTTTAGGATAATCTAAACTAATCATGTCACAGATAGTGATTATTCTTGTTTTACTAAGGTCAATGAAATGATTAGTGACTGGCTTCAAGAGGTATTTTCTGGAGTTCTAGTGAGAAGCAATGACCAGGTCTCTTGTGAGATAGTAACTCACTGAAGACAATGGTGGATGCATCACCCAATTTTGTGGATTAGTTAGACATTAAGACGGTTGGATGCCGGCCAGCCGGCTCAGTGGTCTAGAAGTTAAGCGTTCGCGTGCGAGACCGACAGGTCCTGGGTTGGAATCTTGAGGGGCGGGATCGTGGACGCGCACTGCTGAGGAGTCCCAGAATAGGACAAAACGGCCGTCCAGTGCTTCCAGGTTTTCTATGGTGGTCTAACGTCAATCGGTTCATGACCTCTATATATTTTAGCATTTCAATTAGTTTAAATACAGTCAATTTGTTCTACTAAACTTTGATATTGTGATTCGAACACAGGAATTTATTGGCTTTACTATGTTCACCTCATCATACACATTGAATTCACAATAAAGATTAGTTGTCTCGCTTATTCTAACTGTAAACTGTCTTGTTACTTAGAGAATTTATATCAAACAAAATGTCTTGGGAATTGAATTTTAAACAAACTTCTTGTAGTAGTACAGACAGTCATTCGATTTCTATGTACATTTATCCTTTTAGGAGGAATATCATAGTACCATATGAACAGACTGGTGATAAGTATAAATATGAGCAGACAGATTCTTAGAAAGACATGTGTAATGTAGACATGTATGATCATACACATACATAAGCATAAAAATAAGACGACTCATAGGAAATAGGAAATATGTGTGTGTTTGTTATAACAGCATAGTGACAAACGATACATTAATCACTAACTCACATTTAAAAGGAAAAAAAATGCGTCAAACATCAAAGTGATAGTAAACGATAAATGAAAATTAAGGTGATAAAGTAATTTTATAAACCACAATAAACACACTCACATTGAGGAAATGTTAAATAATACAGTTCTAGATTATTTTACCATTAAAAAAGAAAGAATCCAGTTTCACACCGATATTTTTATTATAACTATCAAACTCTGTAATTGATATTTTGGAGGTAGGAATGAATTTAAGTGAGAACATTTGGGTTTCGACTATGTATCGGACATAACTAACTATTCATCATGTATCAGTTTATTTGGATTTTATTGAAAGGATTAACAAATAAATCAATTAGATTTTTCAACATTAAACTTTTATCAACTGTAATTAACAGGAAAGGAGCTTGTTTCAGACAGAAATACCACCATAAATAGATGAATACTTGTTATACTTCTGATGATTAGAAGAAAATGACCGTTAGGATGATTTTTATTAGAAAAGTATCATTTCATTTGACCTCAGGAATCTGTATACTTGTCAAATATTAGGGTGGTGTTAAGAATTTTAGATAAATTAAACATGATATTCATGATACGGTAACATTGGTAACTAACACATGTTCATTATTTTACCGAATTTCTTCATGATGACATTTACTAATTTTATGGTAGGAAGTCTGCGTGAAAGTTATTTTACATATAGTTTCCTATATACCGTGTATATTAGATTAGACCACATAGTAACGCCTAGTAGAGTGATTACTTAACAACTATGTTGAGATTAGATGGTGGTTGGATTTAGTCGACAGGAAACCCTGGACCCGGGTTTCGTGCTACTTGGCACTCGTTAGCAAGGTGTACCTGTAATCTTGAAGGAACTGGTGCTCCCTGACAGATTCAATCCCTTGTCACCCAGCGTCACAGTCAGAGACGTTACCACTGAGCTATCCGGGCCGTGACTGACCTCCTGTAGGACTGATTACAGGTACACCTTGCTGACGAGTGCCAAGTAGCACGAAAACCGGGTCTAGGGTTTCTTGTCGACTACCTCCAACCACCATCTAATCTCAATATATAGTGCACGCAGTGTCGAGTCACCTAGACTGGTGGCGACATTGCAACATGGTCGATAGCATTCGATCTGCACTAAATAAGGACTTGACACACATGACATTGATCACCACTCAGTGATCAATCAATTGTGACTTTACTATGTGTACATTACTGAAATTCTACGTATTTCAACAATAATAGAGCTTAGATCTATTCATTTTCAATATTTCTTTAATGAAAACATTGAGAAATCATTTAATTTTTGTAAAAATCTAAAGTCATTTTGTTCTAATCAATCATCATCAGGTCTATTTTCTGAATTAAATTCTTTGTCTCACCCTATAAACGATTATAGGGTTATACTCCAGAAATCACGAAATCACGTACAAACTTACATGAATCAGATTGATTTTTGTATTAAAAAGAAGTGAATTAATTGAATACCGGTTATAACTCGACCAATGTCATGTTTGTCGAATTCTTTGGTGCTGATTAAATTCTGTAAATCAATTTGTTATATACTCATCAATCTAAGTAGCTCAACAACGCGTTTATTATACTATACTCTGTGGTCAATGGTAGTCAGCAGAAAAACCTGTTTGACGTAGGTTTCATACTAGTTTACACTTGTCATCAAGGTGTACTTCCAGTCTTGAAGGAAACTGATGTTCTTTAAAGGATTCTAACCCGTACCAGGACGTCAGTCGCTGTCCAAAAAGGTCAGTAATAACGCCTTAAATTGTGAAGTTGGATGGCGCGGGTTGGGATCCCATAAAGTGTATAGGTTCCTTCAGAATTGCAGGTATATCTTGGTGAGAACTGGAAACCTTTTAAAAAGCCGGTAAGATTTAAAGACTTGTCATCAATAATTTTCAAAAGGTTTGTGAGTTGTACGCTCACATAAGTAACGATCAGTAACGGTTTTGTCATTAACACAGATAAATAAAACAAAGGATAAATAATCAGTTACCTGAAAAAATATATTTTAGATACTGTTTGCAATATGAAAGTAATTTTCATCATGAATCAACATCAGCTGGAGAACAATTGAAAATGACTGAGATCTGAACAACTGTTTTATCTCAGTTCGGGACTCCTCATTATTGAGAGCCTATACTCACTTCGGCGTCGAACCCAAGGCATTCAGATCTCCAGTTGAGCATAATATTACATAGATTATTATAGATTAATAAGCAAATATGGTGAGTCAGTCGACGAATTTTCAATTACATATTATTTGGGATAGTTAAGGTGTGTTTTACTTACCCCCAATCATGGCCTATTTCAATGTTCCGTGCTAACAGATGTAGGTATTATTAGAATTATGGTATTACTCCCTAAGGAATATGACTATCATTTTCAACTACGTAACATATTATAATATTTTTACTTATACTCGTCGAGCTAAATGTAATCAACAATTAGAGACTTTAAATGATACTAGTCATAGTCATCTACATTGGCATAAGTGGATTCTTTCCTTTTAACAATTCTCTATTGTCAATTGTTTCCTTTATTTTTCTATGAAAGATTTTGCTACTACTAATATTATCGATCTAGATCCCTATGTTCAAGTAATTTTTCAATCGTATCAATAAAAACTAGGGTAACGTTGACAGTTGTACATATGTGATAAATTCTATAACATTTCTGTTGCTTTGACCTACACTACCAGTTATATTTATTAATATAATTTGAAATTGAAAACTCAAATGATTTCAGTGTATAAATCTTTATCAGAAATGAGTTTTTTGGATATTATAGTAATTTAATAGTTGAGTTCATGAGTCAATTGAAGCTAGACCATCATGGAAAACATGTAAGCACTTGATGGCCGTTTCATCCTAGTGTGAAAATCCTCAGCAGTGCGCATCAATAACATAATGTGGGAATATCCGTTTCAACTATATCTAAATATTATATAATGAAGTCGATGAATTTCGTGGCATATTTTAGTTTGTGACGTTTATTAATAAACATAATTTATTTGTAATGTCCTATGAGTAGAAAAATTATTTAATTTTTTTAACGTTTCGTGTAAGCCATTACTTCAGAGAATAAATAAACAAATTAAATTAATCTAAGTTCGAATAGTACAAATGAACAAAGCAAGAAGATTTGATGTATTTATGGCAGTGGTTATCACTGGGATCAGAATTTTACTATTAGCCCAATACAATTGAGTCTAGTCTTAGTGAGTAAAACGGCACTTAATAAGATAGTAGTACATTCATCAAACATGTCACAGTTTGATTTGACTGAAAACTATCCCTATAAGTAAACTAATTAAAACACAAGTAGCATCGTAACAACATAAAATCATCATATTTATTACTTGTACTGAAGTATCTAAGATGCAGTAATTAGATCTATATTCAATGATCGGTCAAGTCTTTGATATTATCTTAATAGTTCCCTAGTAGCTATTGAGTTTGAGTTTCATTTACCGTAATTTCAGAAATATTCAGTGAATGAATCT